TACGAGATGAACTGAGTTGAATCTTTCTGAGGAAGAAATTGATTATGAATGGCGTATTCGTGCGGTCAAAACAGTTAGGAAGACCTTAACTTCTAAACGTGTCATATTGGCTAGATTATTCTCACAAGACATCTCAGTTAATAGACAATGATTTTGATACAGAAAAGCAATAATCCGATTTGGAATCAGCAGTACCTGGTTTCAGAGGTACTATATCAGACCCATAATATAATATTATCGAATCAAGATTTACACATTCATCAGGAAAAGTTCAACATTTTCAAATTCCTGAACAACCTGACAGTGATGAAGTTTCTTATACTGAATTCAAGGAAAACGCACATACATCTTGTATAGAGTTAGATGCAAGGTTAGCAATGAATGTGATTATATATGTTCAACATTCTTTGGATAGTACTTCCTCTGAGGTTTGGAAACCGGTTGCAGTTCATAAATGGAGATTACACTATGATGGTTTATCTAGCTCAAAAAGTAATATAGCTAGGGGAGTTATAGCCCAAAATCCCATACTTTTTCTTATGGCACCTAATCCTGGCGATTTTACGACCTCCAATAGGACCTCCATATGATGTACTTGGATTCCTTATTGTGAGAAAGTTTCGAATCCGTCAAAAATAGGTCACTTCCGGTTTTCACTTCTGGTCGTCCGATTTCAATGATTTTGACATTCGTTTAGATGTCAAGAAACATAATTAATCATTTTCCGAAGCCGTCATATTAGCTGCAACAGGCCGATGTGGGTACTCATTTCAAATGATGTCATTTGTAGATTATGAAAAATATAATATCGAGCGCCTAATGTGAAATAACATAGAAAGAATTGCAAATTCAAAGAAAACCATTGTAATTCAATGTTATCATGTTATGCACAACTATAAGTGAAATTTAATAGCAGCAGTTTGAATCATAATTAAATCAGAAGGGACCTTGAAGTTTTGGAGGCGAGAGATTCTGAAATTCTGAAAATACAAACATGGTGGGCCAGAAGGGTGCTGAAAAGGAAAATGTATTTAAACGTAGTCAAAATAACATAATATTTGTTTGCGTGTGGAAGAGTGAGAGGTGAACGTCACGACATGTGTGTATGAGTGGGATGATGATAATTTTGAATATGGATAAAAAAAGGCGGCATATTATACGATGCCGGTCATTTCTGTCATGAAAATCTTATTAAATTTCGCAAAATTCAACACGATGAAACGGCCATTTTGGTCGATTTGACCTCAGCGAAAAACATGCATTTTTCAAGACCCATTTTTTCTAAAAACTCATATCATTATCGAAGTAACGTGTCGCGAAAATTGGTGTAAAAATAATCGCATCTTCATCTCATTACGTGTCAGTCAGAAATAACCGTCCACAAATGTAAATTCTCATTTAGTCGAACAATTGAAATTGAATTAATCAAAAAAAAAATCTGTAATGAACAGAGATTTTTCACTTGGGATATTGGAAAAATAGGAAATCAATCTACTTTGGTGAAGTCATGATGATTCGTAACAGCGCCAGTAGATCTACAATGATTGAACCAAATCGGAAGTGCTCAAATCTATAATGAGACATCCAGCTCGGAAGTGTTGAAATGTACAATGATTGAACCAAATCGGAAGTGCTCAAGTTCACTCGGCGGCTTCGTCGCGATGTTGTTGACTTCGAGTTTATCAGTAGGAGCGCTCGGCAAAAACAAAAATATTCGATCGGTAAAGTGGTATAATAACCATGAAGGGAACTCAAAAATGGAAATGGTCCGGCATAATAAGGCCCATGTTTCGAACTCAAACACTTGGTAAAGGTTACCATAGCAATGATGTTGTTGGTTCCAGCATTCTACAAACGAACGCCATCGATACTCATCGTTGGATATATAAAGAGAAGCCCTTCGAGTATGTGTATTGGGACAATCCGAAAGAGTTATGCGATAGATTAAAGCTGCTTATAGCTTCGAAAGATGCTGGAAATACGTCACATGACAATTAAATTACGGCTATATTTAATGAACTCAGAGAAGCCAACATTATTCAATAATAAATCACTCAAACACCTTAATCGCGTTGAAGAAACGAATATTATTGGAATTATATCGATGTGTGTACATTTGCATCATGACTATCGACAAGTTCGGACGTAGCTTCAATAGGAAACGAAAGCATTCTGCAACATCAGCAGTAGGCAGTGGTGGAGGTTTGCTACATACACCCGATGACAACATCGATTTCGATAATATGAAATTGTGTAATGTGACCTACGAACGCATCAGATGCTGTCAACAAAGAGTACATGGATGAAGTTGAGAAAAACCTCACTACTTCCATAAGAATAAATATGACTTACTTTGATGGAAAAATGTTTGAGTTTAAGATGAAAGTACGCAATGATATAAAAAATTTGAAAAATGATGTAAACGCACTAATCAAGAATGAGGTTAATAAGTTAGATATTGAATTTGTTAAAAAAATTCAAACAGTTAACACCGACCTCTTTCAAACGACTCAACATGCTACGGAACAGCTTCAAAAATTGCAAGAAAAATTCAAACTTCAATATGAAATCGATATTTGTCAAAGGGGTTGAAAGAACTCACCGATTTGGTTCACGAAAAGAATGCCAAAACTTTGCAATCTGCAGCAAACTGATATTTTGATCAAGAAAATAAATGGAAAGTTAAAGAAATTTCGATCTAACGTTAAATCGCAAATATCTACATTAGGTGTGAATGTTAAAAATTTGGAGCTCGTAATCAACAAAAAATCTTCAGAACCTTCCTCAAATGTGATAAATTGGATGTTTTCACAACATTATGCACAGTTATGGCTTCCAAATACAAGATTCAACTTGTCCGTGAACTGCATAAACCAGTTAGAAAAAAATTTCCTCGACGTCGTACTATCATCAAGGGACTGGATGATTTATGGCAGATGAATTTGGCTGAGATGAGAACCTATGCTCACCACAAACGGAATTTCAAACTCATTCTCGTCGTCATAGATTGTTTTTCGAAATTCGTGTGGACACGACCGTTGAAATCGAAAACGGGAGAAGAAATCACCAAAACATTTTCGGATATTTTGGAACATACGAAACGATGCCCAAAAAATTTACAAACCTATCAAGGAATCGAGTTTTACAACAATAAGTTTCAAACTTTAATGGAAAAACATGGAATAAATCACTACAATACATACAGCATCATGAAGGTTTCAATGGCTGAGCGTGTCATAAGAACGTTGAAAGAAAAACTTTTCAAATATTTCAGTTTGAATGGCACCTACAAATGGTTGAATGTCTTGCCAGAAATCACAAAATCCTATAATTATACGAGACACTCAAAGACGGGCATAGAACCATCGAAAATCAACAAAGCCAACGAAAAACAAATCCTCATATCGACATACAACCATCTGAAAATAGCTGGACCGAGAAAATTCAAGGTCGGCAATGTTGTGCGAATCAGTAAGGCAAAACACGTTTTCGAAAAAGGTTACACGCCCAATTGGACTACGGAATCATTCCAAATTATCAAAGACAACATTACCAACCACGCTACCTTTATGCTAGAAGATATGCAGGGTGCACCTATCAAGGGTGCTTTCTATGGAGAAGAATTGCAAAAAACTGCAAATCCAGATATATATCTCGTGGAAAAAGTTTGAGGAAAAAAGGCAAAAAAAATGTACGTTAAATGGCTGGGTTTGGATAACAAACACAACAGTTGGATCGAAAATGTTGATTTTGTATAGAATCTTATGGAAAACAAGCACACTGACATTGTATTTGGAGGGCCTTTTGTGAAGAAATGGTGTTCAACAAACACAATATCTGAATTCGACCACGTGATCTGAAGGTATAAGAGCACATGCAAATACAGAAGTATGTTCAGTTTAAAAAATGTCTCTCGATAGTGGTTATGGTAGTGTTGAAGTCGAAGTAATGTGTGATAGTGATGGTGAAGATTATAACGAAACTCTCAGTGCAATAGACAGAGCATTGGGACAGCACGAAATGGCTGCTCGAAACGAACACCAATTGCTATTGATGACATTCCCCATGTCATCTTATGAAATTCGATGTGGTCTAAGTCCATCCAGAGACTTTAGCCCATGCATCATATTGAAGCAACAATTCTCCATTCGTTTCATCAATTTCACAACTTGTGAATGAGCAAGTCTCATTGACATTCTGCAACAAGTAAAGGAACATTTCTTCGATTCACAAATCGATGAGTATGTAGATGAATATGATCAAATCACAACACGTTGCGGGGATTACATATACGTCACACAGTACATCGAAAGTGATACCAAACAAGTTTCCCTTTCCAAGGATTCAACAAACGTGGAGCTGTTTCAACAAGATGTAAACGATGTCCTGAACACTCATATGGGAGTGCTCTCTGATCGTATCGCTTTGCTGGATGCCATAAACTTTTGTGATTATTATCGAGGTGTTTTCCATATTATTCAATCATGGTTACGTGAAAATAAAACTAATTCAACTTTGCAAGAAATTATAGAAGGTTTTTGTCAGGCCTCATCTTTAGATAGTCTGTATGCTAATGCTTTACGTGAATATTCATTTTATTATAAACCAAAACTAGTGTATGATTTATGTAATAGGTGAGAAAATTGGATATTTACCTTTTTGTCGCTCAACTATCCTCGCCGCCGCCGCAATCCTAAATTGTAAGCATAATCACATACTTTATGAATAAAACACACAGAAAATATATTTGTTTTTTTCCTTTATTCAAAAATCCCTCTGCCTCCAAAATACAACAATGAAAAGCTTGGTATTGTAGTGATTGTAAAATAGAAAAAAACATTGAGCTGTTACATAAGTATTTATTGATTACATTAAGTAAAATATTATTGATAAATAAATGTAATTTTCCTGAGGAGTTCTTTTAGCTGGTGCAAAAGTCCTTCTGCAGGGCATGGAACTATTTTTCGATTGAATTGTTTTTTGTTGGTACCAAGGAAACATTATGGAAGTTTTTTGGTTGCTATGCCCCAATCCAAATACATGCCCAATTTCATGAGAAAATTCGTAACTCCGTTTCCATCAAGATCCCACGATTCGTCCTTGTCTAAATGAATTTCTGTGCATAAATCATCCGAAGGTGGGTAAGCATGACCTAAAATTTTCCCGGGGCCATCAAATTCAAATTGACATATTCCATTAGACATGCAGTCTCGGCGTAATGAATGTCTTCTTTGCACCAGCGATATAGTTATATCAGGTTTATCGATTTTCGTCAAACGAACATACTTGAATTTGAAATTAGAAATATTCCCCCATAAACTGAAGGCTTTTTCAGCATTAAGCCTCATTTTGGGAGATGCTTGCGGAAAATACCATTTGATATATGTTTTGTTCCATTTACCTTGAATCGTGAAAGCGTTTTCAGCGATTGCACATCTCGGTCTTTGAAGCAAACTCAGAGTATCTGAATTCAATGTACCATCTATGGGAAGATTGTATTTCTCTTGAAAACTAGTCATAGTCGATTCAAAATCTGTGAGAGAATTATTGTTTTCGAAATAGATACTGCAACATTTCTTCATTATTCGTCACATTTTCACAAGTAGTGAGGCACGAAAAAAATATGAGTGCTTACCACAACATTTTGAAACAATACTGAATTCCCAAGTCATTTTACCACTTTTATGTATGGTAGTTGTGAGTATGTGTGCGCGAGATGGTAATGATGCCAGCATAGGGTTACAGAAAAAAACATGAAGCACTTAGCTGCAACTCAGTTGATGAATTTTGAGACACCCTGTACACATTGAAGTGATGTTCTTAAATGATGAGACACCCTGTATATCTCGATGGCTAACATATTTTTGGTGCCTGGTGTCGACTATGTCAAGTAGCTTATCGCATTTCCTGTTTATTACAGCTTTATCAATAATACGTGATAACAATGAGAATATGCGAAACAGTTTAATATATTTTCATCGACTTGGAATAAAACGAAAATGTGAATATGCAAATGTTTATTATTTGAACAAAAATGACCATTTCTTATTGAATTCCATAATTACTTCTTGTAAAACTCTAATCAAAATATCGTACACACTATAATGAAAATTCTATAAAGCTCAAATTCCATTTGCGACTTCTTTAACGTTGCATGCTCTGGAACAAATTTCACCGTTTTCGTATCAACTTCCCGAAGATCTTGGAATATCAGCCTCAGTTTATATTTGAACTGGGTATTCTTTTGCATTTTGCCAAAGAAAACAAAAACTGCCAATTGGTTGTCATTGACAAATGTTGAACTCATCAATTTCCATTGTGTTCTATTGCATCCATTACCGAAATTATTGGGCTTCCCACATATTGCCATGTATTTCACGCCCTTTGGTACGTTCACATACAAAACGTTATTTATTATTGCAGTTAAAAGCACAAAATTCATTTTCAGCATTGGCGGTGACATTATCTATGCTGCGAGGTTGAATTCTTCTCAATGGATATTTCGTTTGAGGTACTTTCCGATTTAACACTCAGTCTTGAAATTCTAAATCATTCAGCTGCTTCGAAACAATTTTCTTTTCTCCGACTTTCCGTTTGTATTCTTCAGATGACATTTTATCACTGATTATTTCAACTTTTGAACAATATCAACATACTTTCAAACGATGATATTACTTTCCTCCACGATACGGCGTGTTTTCTTCCCCCCACTCCCCCTATTTACCACCTAACATTTGGCAACGTTGCACAACCGAGTCAAATATAATTACAACATCCGAAATGCAGATATTCGACACAAAAGACTACCTGAATGATGAAAAATCCATGCTAAGATTACCTAAATGATGGAAAATCCATGCTACATACTTATAATTTTCATTTGTCTCCAGTGAAAATTGTGACGTTAGAGTACCCGCAACACCGTGCCATCTTCAATAATAACAAAGTTACCTCCCTATGATTTCAAAACTTTTGCAAATGCCTAATTATGTTTCTTGACATCGAGACGAATCCATTGATGTCGAAATTATCGAAATCGAACGACCGGAAGTGAAAACCGAAAGTGATCATTTTATTGTAGATTTGGACTCTACACGATATGTCCATTCCGAATTCATTATTACTTTGCTTCTATCTCAATTTTTATGAACCGGAAGTGTTTATTTTTCGAAACTTTATTATTTCACATATTTCACACATTCATCAAAGACAAATAATGCCTGACATGTTGGATCCCACAAAAAAATATTAGACTCTCCTATACGGTGTATATTCCACTCAATTTCCGCCGCCATGTTTTCTCTTTAATGCTGGGCGCCATGTTTTTTTCTTTAATGCTGGACGCCATGTTTTTTCTTTGAACGCTGCACGCCCTGTACACATTGATGTCAGCCATGTTTTTTTCTTTAATGTTGGACGCCATGTTTTTTTCTTTAACGCTGCACACTCTGTATATCACGATGGTAGTCATGTTTTTTCCTTTAACGCTGCAAAAATTTATACGTTCCTTATTAGAAAAGCGGCAACACCCCATAAGCACATCGCCTCCATAATTTACATTTGACAACACCGAACTGTTTATGCTACTACTATCTTTAAAATAAATCAGTTCGAAGCTCTCCATCTTTCTGACACTCATATCACTAACCAAACCATCTCACTTATGTTGTTAAATGATGTATTTCAGTGTCGCTTATCACATTTTCTGTGATAAGCGGCTTTATCAATAATACGTGATAACAATTGTGAAAATGCGAAGAAACTGTTTGATATATTTTCACTGAGTTGAAATAAAACGAAAATTTGTTTTTTTCTTTCATGCTGACGAAAGCATCAAAAGTTCCAGTGTTGATGTAAAACTTGAAATAGAATCATCTGAGGGCTTTCCACAAAATACACGAGCCTATTGCATCATTGTGCACGACATTATCATCGATCACCTTCCACTCAGCGAAATAATCAAGAAATGTAACTGAAGATGTGATTTTGCTTCAGTATCAATCACAGAGTCAACATGAGCCATTAGGATTGGAAATCAGTGTAGTAACTTTTTATTGCTGCCAAACAAACCATTATAATAATTTACAACCGACAACACCGAACTGTTTACGCTACTACTATCTTTGAAATAGATCAGTTCGAAGCTATATCCATCTCTCTTACCGAGACGTCATGTTTTTTTTCCTCAACGCTGCACGCTGTATACTTTGATATCAGCAACGTTTTTTTCTTTAACGCTGTACACACTCTGAATTTCATATCTTTTCCTTCTATTACGTTGGCAGCCATGTTTTTTTTTTCTTCAACGTCCGTGACCTTGTTTTTTCCTCACGCTGCACTGAATACCCGTCGCCATGTTTTTTCGCTTAACCACCATGTTTTTTTCTTTAACGCTGTACACACCCTGTATTTGATGTGTTTTGAAACAACACCTTGTATACCCAATTATTATTGTTCTTATGCCTCAATCGAGGACCCAAATCGAGGTCCAAATCGAGGGCCCAAATCGACGGGTCAAATCGAGGTCCAAATCGAGGGCCCAAATCGAGGTCCAAATCTAGGGCCCAAATCGAGGTCCAAATAGAGGGCCCAAATCGAGGACCCAAATCGAGGTCCAAATCAAGGACCCACCTCCAAATCAAGGACCCACCTCCAAATTAAGGACCCATACCGAAAACCTGCACCCCAACCAAACACCCGTCACAGCGCCCCTGTCACTTGTCATTGTTTTCCACACCTACACCACCAACAAAGACCAACAACCCTCCACACACGTAAAGGTTGCTCTTTGCACCGCCGCACCCTAATAAACCTCGCTGGGGATGTTCTTGCTCTTCCTACCACCACCGACCCTCCATCCAACTGACCATCGCCATCCGACTCACGATCCGACTACACCGGAAGTGGATGACGCGGAACGAACATAGTATTCCTACTCGTGTTGACTGGATATAGCCTATAATGGGGTTAACTACGTAGACTCCGGCGGTGCGGTAGTTTGGATTGTTGGCACATCTCATCCTCGTACTGTTGGTTTTCTCCAAGTGGTAGAAACGGGTGACTTAGGACGATTGTGGAGTTATTAATTGGAATAGGAAATAGGCAAAACATTTCGAATTTTGATTGAAAATTGGAAAATGTGTAGAAATTATAAGTTTGTTTTCTGAAAAGGTAACCTGTGTGCCAACTAATTGATAGTATGAAATATTACTTTTGAATTGAGTAATCCTGTCTTTATTTTGTAATGTATTTAATTTTGCTAATATTAATACATCTTCTAAATTGTCCAGAAATGTAATTAAATTTTGACAATTTAATCTGATTCAATATATTCTGCATTCCCAAATATTCTATCAGCTTTTAACTGATATCGAATTTGAGAATTTCTAGCCAGTTTTTCATTACTTCTTGAGTTAGTTACGCTGGAGTTACAGAATAGCATCGTTATATGTATTTGACTTCATCGTCTGAGTCCAGAGTACCGAAAAGTCATTTGGAAGTTTTTCCACTAAATTTAACAAACCGCGCTTCGAAAGCTTTTGAGAGGGGTCTCATCATTGAATGATAACAACCCGTATCAAATAACAATTTCCTAGGTGGATCAAGTATTTTCATATAGCGTAGGCTATTGTTTATTTTGGTGTACATTTCAGTGGTTGATGTTGCCAAACTGCTGAAAATTTTCGGGTGTTTGTAAAAATCATCCAGGGTTTTCATAAACTTCAGTTTGGGGGTTTACGTCTGAACTATGGGCGTAAATGTAATAGTCATGTTTAAATCCTGAGTCATAGTTTTCAGGAATATTGTCAGTCATCCGGGGCATTAACATTTTCTAGAAGCTCGAGTGACTCTTCATCAATTTGGTAAATTTACTGAGACGTGAAGTTACGAGCACCTGATGGTGCAAATTTATTTTGGAGGTTATTTGGTTGCCTATGGAATGTGTTTCTGGATATAATTGACATTGGATCTGGAGGTGTGGACTAAACACTTGTCTATTTGTTGGGAAGTTTCTGTTGACAGGTCGTGGCTGAACATTGATAAATTGTTTGGGAAATAAGTTTGCAGAAAATGACTGAGCTGCTGGGGTCTCTTTTCGAATGCTGATCTTCAAGGTGTTTTATAGTTGAAATTTGGAGTGTTATATGAAAATTGTTGATTATTTCCGAAATTTTCAAGCTTGCGAATTTCGAAATTTTTGTGTTTTGAAATAGTGGTCTTATGACAACTTTTGTATGTTGAGGCATTATTGAAGTTCTAATAAGATTTTGGGCATATTGAAAATTTTCTGTTTCTATAATGTAAGTCATAGCGGCTTTTGAAGAATCAGGAAGGAAAAAAAGGATACTTGGACTCATCAATGTATTTTAATCCTCCGGTGATTCTGTTACCAGTTTATCTGCTTTGTTTGAACCGTCTGGCCTCCTTCTCAGGCCCCTCAGGTTGACTCAATTCCTTTTTAGTGCACTGGAATGCAGAAAGTCACTCAAAGTCTCGATGAGTGCCGAAGAGTAAATACCCACGTTTTTCTGGTACAAAATCGGTTTCGATGCCGTGTATCGTATGCGATATACCAAAAATACTTTTTTTTAAAGACTTTATTTTGGACAAATACAACTTTCATAGTTCAGGCAAAACTACAAGAATGCCTGATTATTGAATTAACATTTATTTAAAAGCTTCGTTTTGTCGACTTAGCAGGTAGTCGCGACTGTAACAGCGGATGTAACTCTATCCCTGGTTGATGCTGGGTCAGCGAACTCGGGTTCATACCAAACCAACTAATAAAGCTACCTTGTGGCGAAGCGTGTCTTTAATAAAATTCATTGTGAAAATAATTTTGAAAACGTGATAGGCCACCGTAGATTTTGAAAAAACCATTACAATACAATATTACTTGTAGGAAAACAGGTGATTTATAAATATGTTAATTAATGATATCGTTTAAAGTTATTCGTTCACCATCATTAAACTTGTTATCATGAAATGTCAATAGTATTTATAAATTACTAGATTTCCTAGAAATATAATGTATTTCTTGAAGAGAAAATCATTCTTGAAATCTCCATTTGAGTAAATCTGGAGATTTAATTTTTCATTTCACATACATTTTTCGCATAACAAAATCAACTGAAAATAGACTTAGTAGATAGACAAAAAGAAAATACGTGTTGGGGGAGCATAAACGGTTTTGACAGTTACCAGTCTGGTTGTGTCATATCTAATAATTAGTGTATCTTCAATTTCATGTCATTTACTGTAGTTTCAATGAATATTGTCAAAAACGGTTAAAACAATCATCCATCGTATCTAGTATTGACAATATCGTCTACAGTTTTATTACAAGTCACTGCCAATCGAACACCGTAGCGCTAGAGGGTGCGATAGATTCATTTTGACAGATTCGACCGAACATGATGGAACAATGTCTTGAGAAAATTGTCAGAATAAAACAATATTTCCATCCATGTTAGTTAGCAGTTCTGTTTGAGAGAGAGGAATTTCTTTCAGTTGCTCCTCTGGCTGTTCTTCCGGTAAGGCACCAGTGAGAGCTTCTTGATTTATAAACTCACCTAAATCCACAGGCTCTGCTTTTATCTTCATTTGCTTTCCATTCTGCAGGCTCACAAGACATGATACCTCAACGAATCCATCATCCATACTGTCTCTTTTAACTTCAGTGTTGTTGTTCATTTCAGATTCAGTACCATCTTGGCCCATTTCTTCATCATCGTCAACTACAATCACTATCGGGGCAACCTTAACAAAAAACAAAAATTAGGTCAAATATACGAAATTATGATCATGAAAATACAATGAACAGATATATTTACCTCATTAAGAATGACGTCATCATTATTGTCATACCCTCCTTTTTCAAATGGTTGCTCAGTCTTATCATTTTCATCTTGTACTTGTTTGGATTCATCACTTTCCAAGGATACCACCTCCATTGGTTCCGTATCTACATCATTATTATCTTCATCCTCATCATCAACATCTAGTATTATTTCAAGGCCGGGAATAGTTGTTTCTTCTTGTTTAGCTAGTTTGGGCGATTGAATTCTACTCTCATCTGCCGTTTGGTCCAAAAGAGATTGCTGCTGTTGAAAAACAATTAAAAATATTACTTTCAAGATATGTGATGGAATTGGCCGATATATCATGAAAATCCACAACTTATTCAAGTGAAAATTCATCGTGAGATCTCCACTTCATACTCAAGGTATGAAAACACTTGAGGAAGCTATTGCAGTGCGAAAAAGGCGTGTGTTGCGGAATTGTGAACTGTCCAGTAAAAATCTAACAATAAATTGTTACTTGAATGAATTACTTCCAAATGTACTTTTCTGCAATTTTTTTGTACTGACCTGATTATCCTCATAACAAAGAGGATGGTATGTTTTGTCCTCTATCCTGATAGCGTTTTCTAGATGCCACTCTTCCTTCTCTTCATTGAAAAAGTAATCAAACTTATCTCGACAAACATCGCAACATTCGTCTGTTGATTCAGGATCGGCAGAAACACTGGGATTGACGGCGTATTCTTCTGCCTCCACTCCAACATTATCAGCTTGCTGCTGCTGCTGATCAAAGTAATTTTTCTCTGAAAATTACATATCATTTATGAAACTTTGAATAAAAAGATTTAGTACACTTTTAAGCCAGCAAGTTTTTTTCAGCAATACTCACCTCTTTCTTTCAAATCTTCTAGTTCCTCATAATTCTTCCAATCAGACAAGGAATAGTACCACCTTCTGCTATTTGCAACACGGTTATTCCTCTTTCCTCTTCGATTTTTTCGGAAATGCCAATCTAAGTGCTGACTATACTGCATACTAGCCTCAGGTGAAAATCTCATTCCACAACTGCTACACTGCATTCCTGAGTAAAGAGTTGAATAGAGAACATTCTGTCGAACCTTGAGTGTTTTCGGCTGTTCAAATTTAATTGGCCTAAGTTTTTCGCAGCTATTTCGTCTGAGTTTGGAGAGCGTTGGAGCAAAGATAGGTTTTGCTATTGGTTTTTCAACAGAAATTTCTTTATTTGAACTAGGTGGATTCTCATCCATAGGTTCCTAAAAAATTGTTATGAATCATTTCTTTATAACTTAGTTTTAACAAAAGACTTAACTAAATGCTGATCACAGCTAAATTACATACCTGTGAAACTGGTGGATTTTTCTGGTCTGTAGAAGTAATAAAACCAAACGCTACTAGTTTCTGGAACAAGTCACCGACATTCATAATTGGAATTGGTTCAGAAGTTGTAGTTCCACTCTTTGGAACATCCGAGTTCGATTGGTTTTCAACCTGATGAGCTCCAGCTTCAGGGATGGAGGCCAATGTAGGTATCATATCATTCTGCGAACTCCACTCACTCATATTTTCTTGCTGCAAGAGGTTCCTATAGATTGGCAGAGGTGGATCGCGGGTATCAGAATTGCTCTCTTGGCTCTTCTTGTCGAACTTAGGGCTTATGTTGCCATTGCCCTCCATATCCCTGATATTCACCTTACCGGGCTTTGTACCTTTGGGCAATACTGGAAATCTTATGGAATGTTGTTTACCATTTATTACAATAGGTTCAGGGAGACCACCATATTCAACATTAAAAGGCACATCATTTATTAAAACCGTTTCCAACGCATTTACAAATTTTAAAGTGTGCGTTTCACCGTTAAGAACAAACTTTTGAACTTTAGCATCTAGAAACACGGGTACAACTTCGGCGTCTATGCACACATTAATTTTGCCAGCGACTAGATCTGTCCTTTTTGTGTCACCAATTTTAACTTGAGGTGGCAGTCCTTCCAGCTTCAAGGTTATGCTGACTCCGTCCAAGTCAATACGAATAGCACTACCAAAGCGGCATTCATAAGGCACATGATCGATGAAGATCTCCCTGCTGGGAGCACCGATCTTTACCTTATGAAGACGTCCATTAACTAGAACCTCTTTGTACGAATGGTTCAAAGAAAACGTATAAGACTCTTTATTGTTAAATGTGATCTGTCGAACAACATCATCCTGGAATGTCAACTCCCTGGGATCATCCCAGCTGATGAATGTGATACCCAACTCGCCGTAGAATCGAATATCTTTCGGAACGCCATCAATGACAATAGTCTTGATCTCATCATCGTTAACAGCTCCACTTGGTAAATGATCTTTCGGTTCGATGTCGGAAGAAACTGGGAGTTCCTCTACTCGTGTCAGAGGGAAATCTATAGGATGTGGCAACTGCTGTGGAGGATACTTCCTTTGATGTTGATGGGGAGGCAAATGTCTCCATGTGGCTGGTTGATTCCATGACCTGACAGTCATTCTTGGTGGATTTTCCCAAAACCTTCGACCGCGTGGACCACCTATCCAATTAGAAGGACCAGGAAATCTTCTCATATATACGGGCCACTTTATGACGAGTCCTCTTCGAAATAGATTCTCGGTAGAAACTACATTGACTCTGATAAACGTGGTAATATCATAGTTGAAGGACTCGCATTCAAAGGAATCTTTCTCGATGAATTCGAAGACTTCAATAGGAAGGATCAAACATCTTATAAACGTTTGTTGGAAGTAACACAAGCCCACCTGAATGCCAGAGAATCCATGAAGGGAACTCAAAAATGGAAATGGTCCGGCATAATAAGACCCATGTTTCGAACTCAAACACTTGGTAAAGGTTACCATAGCAATGATGTTGTTGGTTCCAGCATTCTACAAACGAACGCCATCGATACTCATCGTTGGATATATAAAGAGAAGCCCTTCGAGTATGTGTATTGGGACAATCCGAAAGAGTTATGCGATAGATTAAAGCTGCTTATAGCTTCGAAAGATGCTGGAAATACGTCACATGACAATTAAATTACGGCTATATTTAATGAACTCAGAGAAGCCAACATTATTCAATAATAAATCACTCAAACACCTTAATCGCGTTGAAGAAACGAATATTATTGGAATTATATCGATGTGTGTACATTTGCATCATGACTATCGACAAGTTCGGACGTAGCTTCAATAGGAAACGAAAGCATTCTGCAACATCAGCAGTAGGCAGTGGTGGAGGTTTGCTACATACACCCGATGACAACATCGATTTCGATAATATGAAATTGTGTAATGTGACCTACGAACGCATCAGATGCTGTCAACAAAGAGTACATGGATGAAGTTGAGAAAAACCTCACTACTTCCATAAGAATAAATATGACTTACTTTGATGGAAAAATGTTTGAGTTTAAGATGAAAGTACGCAATGATATAAAAAATTTGAAAAATGATGTAAACGCACTAATCAAGAATGAGGTTAATAAGTTAGATATTGAATTTGTTAAAAAAATTCAAACAGTTAACACCGACCTCTTTCAAACGACTCAACATGCTACGGAACAGCTTCAAAAATTGCAAGAAAAATTCAAACTTCAATATGAAATCGATATTTGTCAAAGGGGTTGAAAGAACTCACCGATTTGGTTCACGAAAAGAATGCCAAAACTTTGCAATCTGCAGCAAACTGATATTTTGATCAAGAAAATAAATGGAAAGTTAAAGAAATTTCGATCTAACGTTAAATCGCAAATATCTACATTAGGTGTGAATGTTAAAAATTTGGAGCTCGTAATCAACAAAAAATCTTCAGAACCTTCCTCAAATGTGATAAATTGGATGTTTTCACAACATTATGCAAGTTATGGCTTCCAAAGACAAGATTCAACTTGTCCGTGAACTGCATAAACCAGTTAGAAAAAAATTTCCTCGACGTCGTACTATCATGGATGATTTGGATGATTTATGGCAGATGGATTTGGCTGAGATGAGAACCTATGCTCACCACAATCGAAATTTCAAACTCATTCTCGTCGTCATAGATTGTTTTTCGAAATTCGTGTGGACACGGCCGTTGAAAACGAAAACGGGAGAAGAAATCACCAAAACATTTTCGGATAATTTGGAACATACGAAACGATGCCCAAAAAATTTACAAACCGATCAAGGAACCGAGTTTTACAACAATAAGTTTCAAACTTTAATGGAAAAACATGGAATAAATCACTACAATACATACAGCATCATGAAGGTTTCAATGGCTGAACGTGTCATAAGAACTTTGAAAGAAAGACTTTTCAAATATTTCAGTTTGAATGGCACCTACAAATTGTTGAATGTCTTGCCTGAAATCACAAAATCCTACAATTATACGAGACACTCAAAGACGGGCATAGAACCATCGAAAATCAACAAAGCCAACGAAAAACAAATCCTCAAATCGACATAAAACCATCTGAAAATAGCTGGACCGAGAAAATTCAAGGTCGGCAATGTTGTGCGAATCAGTAAGACAAAACACGTTTTCGAAAAAGGTTACACGCCCAATTAGACTACGGAATCATTACAAATTATCAAAGTCAACATTACCAACCCCGCTACCTTTATGCTAGAAGATATGCAGGGTGCAGCTATCAAGGGTGCTTTCTATGGAGAAGAATTGCAAAAAACTGCAAATCCAGATATATATCTCGTGGAAAAAGTCTTGAGGAAAAAAGGCAAAAAAAATGTACGTTAAATGGCTGGGTTTGGATAACAAACACAACAGCTGGATCGAAAATGTTGATTTTGTATAGAATCTTATGGAAAACAAGCACACTGACATTGTATTTGGAGGGCCTTTTGTGAAGAAATGGTGTTCAACAAACACAATATCTGAATTCGACCACGTGATCTGAAGGTATAAGAGCACATGCAAATACAGAAGGATATTCAGTTTGAAAAATGTCTCTCGATAGTAGTTATGGTAGTGTTGAAGTCGAAGTAATGTGTGATAGTGATGGTGAAGATTATAACGAAACAGAGCATTGGGACAGCACGAAATGGCTGCTCGAAACGAACACCAATTGCTATTGATGACATTCTTCATTGATGACATTCCCCCAAGGATACAACAAACGTGGAGCTGTTTCAACAAGATGTAAACGATGTCCTGAACACTCATATGGGAGTACTCTCTGATCGTATCGCTTTGCTGGATGCCATAAACTTTTGTGATTATTATCGAGGTGTTTTCCATATTATTCAATCATGGTTACGTGAAAATAAAACTAATTCAACTTTGGAAGAAATTATAGAAGGTTTTTGTCAGGCCTCATCTTTAGATAGTCTGTATGCTAATGCTTTACGTGAATATTCATTTTATTATAAACCAAAACTAGTGTATGATTTATGTAATAGATGAGAAAATTGGATATTTACCTTTTTGTCGCTCAACTATCCTCGCAGCCGCCGCAATCCTAAATTGTAAGCATAATCACATACTTTATGAATAAAACACACAGAAAATATATTTGTTTTTTCCTTTATTCAAAAATCCCTCTGCCTCCAAAATACAACAATGAAAAGCTTGGTATTGTAGCGATTGTAAAATAGAAAAAAACATTGAGCTGTTACATAAGTATTTATTGATTACATTAAGTAAAATATTATTGATAAATAAATGTAATTTTCCTCAGGAGTTCTTTTAGCTGGTGCAAAAGTCCTTCTGCAGGGCATGGAACACCGAATAAATTCCAATTAAATTGTCCAGCTTCAACTATTTTTCGAGTGAACTCATTGTATTTATAGTAGGTGTATTTTCTAAAAAGATACATGTGTCCATCAATGTATCGAAAAGCACCTGTGATATCTCCTGGAATTCCCGGAAATATATCGGAAATCCGTCCTCACCAGGTGATTTGGAAATTCTGGAGCTTTTGCCAAAAACATAAAATCGGGGATTTTCACATTGCAAAGGTTTTTTATTTCAGTCTCAGGGGTATTGGATATTTTCTTCGTTATTCGGGGAGTATTTGTCGTTGATATTTCCTCCGTTATTTGTGGGGTATTTGTCGTTGATGTAGAAAGCTGAGTTGTTTTTACTGTGGTGGTATTACGTCGACCATATAAAGATTCAATGGCATATAAGTCATTCTTCCTAATTGAATTGTTTTTTGTTGGTACCAAGGAAACATTATGGAAGTTTTTTGGTTGCTGTGCCCCAATCCAAATACATGCCCAATTTCATGATAAAATTCGTAACTCCGTTTCCATCAAGATCCCACGATTCGTCCTTGTCCAAATGAATTTCTGTGCATAAATCATCCGAAGGTGGGTAAGCATGAGCTAAAATTTCCCCGGGGCCATCAAATTCAAATTGACATATTCCATTAGACATG